AAAAAACTCTAAAACAATTTGACAAATTTAAAGTTTATGAGAAGAAAGAAAATCTATAAAATTGAAAAAAGGGGCGGATGCTTTGGAGTAAAAATGAAATAAATTTGGCTTCAGTTTTCAGCATAAAGCTCTTAATAAACTAGTTTAGAAGTTTAAAGTGTATGAACATAATTAGTTTAAAAATAGAATAATTCGGCTAACATTTAAGATATTAGTAAAAATCATTTTGATGAATAAAAATGTGAATTTTTGAAGAAAATTTTTTTACCAAAGAAATCTTATAATCAAAGATTCGGAAGCATGACTCTTTAATAAAAAAAAAAAAAAAAGAGAAAGAAAGGGTTGAAGCATGGCATATATTATTGCACAGATACGAATCCTCTTCTCAAAATATGTTGTGGGGCCAACAATTTGGATGGAACAGCCGACGTGGACAAGGGCCCTACAGAAGAGTGAGAATCTTACAGCATCATTGGAAGTGCGCCCTAAAATGAGGACAAAAGAGGAAATAGGCCCCACAAACTAACAAAACCATTTCTTAAGACAGTGACATGTGAACATTGTGGCCCTACTTAAGTCACTCCTCTGGGTGACAACTACGCTTAGGTTTGGTACGTTTGTTTGTTGTGTTTTTTTTTTGTTTAATATTGTTAAAATTGATCTAGAATTGATGAAAATAATGTTATACCAATTTGATTTGCTTACAAAGATATTGTAAACGTTAATTTCGAGTTTTTGAAAGCTCTTATGCGCACGCACAAAAAAAAAAAGAAATGAAAGATCGTATATATATATATTCAGTATATTGTGAATTGGTTTGTTTATGGTAATTTTATGTATTATATGCCATGATCTAATTAATGTAATAATCGATAAAATATTTTTATAATTAGGTTGGCTTTAGCCATCACTCACGATTTCTTGCACACATGTGATGAGACTACTATAGTCTATATGCATCGACGTCCAAACGATATTTGTTAAAGGAAAATATATGTCGCTCTGAAATCTGAATATTTAGTTCTATTTATTTTGTTTTTGTTGATAAAATTAGTTCTAAATGATAAGTCTCTTTTCGTAATTAGAGATATAAGAAAACATTAGCAAGTCCGGCCCAAGATTTTAGTTCGAACGTTGTTCAAGGTGGATTTAAGACACATCAAATCATAAGTTAAAGGGACATTTGCTCCTTTTTTTTTCTTTCTTTTCTCTCATGTGTCTTCTTCGATGTATACTTTACGGCCAAGCTGAAAAAGAAGACAACAGAAAAAGGATGAACATTTTTGTAGTGGGTCTTCAATCCAGTTCAAAAGATTATATAAAATTATACTCTATCTTCAGGAGTAACTCGGATGGTCTAAGCATGATTGTTAATAGATTAAGAAAAATAGTCTAGTAAAAAGGTAATATATAATAATCTACACATATGTAAGTTTATAAAACATAGGTTTGGAACAAATTTGCTAAAAAAATATCGGAGTTATAAAACATTTCCAAGTTAACCATGATTCAAGCCAAATATGATATATATTCATAAAAATAAATTGGGATTTTTCAATGTAAATTATATTAAAAACTGAAAATCTACAATGTTTGTTAATAAATTTTTAGTAGACGAAGCATAAAAACAAAATGGGAGTAGGAGAAGCTGGGACTAATGAGGATAAATTGAGTGCAACTGTATCATGCGCACACAAGTTTATATCCAAAAATAATTAATCAAAGAGGCCCACTATCTTTCACAATTCACACACCATATGTTAATTCATCACTATCTCATGTTGTGCTCCCAATAATCTTTCTCATTATCCCTTTTAAGTTTTTTATATGTTATTTCTTTGTTTTCATATCTAAGATTATGGATATCGCCACCTCATATCTTATTTCTCCTCGGTCGGAAACCATGACCAGTCTGGATAAATCTTCCCTGCAACGCTTAAACCAGAGACTTTTGAAAAATTACAAAAAATATCTTTACTCAGAGACTGATATATATATATATATATATATATATATAAATTTTCGATTGACTGAAATTGTTTCAGCTGAGGCACATCAAATCATGAGCTAAGTATGATAAAAGATGAAAAAAGAGAAGCGCATGTGGAGAAAAAGAGAAGGTGCGCGAATAAGATTAAGGATGTGCCTCGAGCCCAAAACCAAATCCAGAATCAATCTCGATAGTGTTATTAATTGGTATATAAATAATAATAAGAGTATTTGTATAGTTTTCTTATGAGGTTGTTTGGTACATATGAAGCAATTTATTATTCGATGCAAATCATTCCCCGTGCCTGTTATGCTATGTTTTTCTTAATAATAAACATCATACTGTATTATTTATTTTGAAATTTGATTGTGTTGAGATTAAAATACTAATAATATTAATAGGAAGAAGTGGAGGAAAGAATCTGATGGACCCTTATGGTTTCTCCACGCAAGAATCATTCCACTGAAATGGCTACATACCTGCATCATACTTTCAATTCCTGGACCAACAATGAATTGCTTCGTTTTTAATCAGTTTAAACATTTTAGACCTGATGAACAAATAAAAACAATTTAGACCTTCTTTGTTTGCTAATGGAGTTTCTAGGACCAAAATTCGATATCCACCAGACCACCACAGTATATATTTGTTTGGTACTGGTTAAATGTGTGTTTCGTATAAAAAATTGATTTGATCTGAATCAGCAAAACAATTAAACCAAATAACTACAATAATTAATTATTGATATATGTATATACTATTTTAAAATGCAGCTGTGACGATAATAGCATGCCTAAACCGCGGCGAACCCTCGTTATCATCCAAAGCAGTAGACTCTACAAACACAAGTACATCGTTATCTCTGGTACATACTTTTGATTTTATAAAGTTGCCACAATAATGAGACGTGCTGGCGTAAGCATGCGTCATCTCTTTGTCATATTGTGCAAATCCAACAAGACATTATTATATGTGACACTTTTGTAATGGAGAGACTTTCAAGAGATTTGGTTCAGTTCCTTTTTTTATTTATTTAATTTAAGATAGCTGATGATGAGAGAAGGGTGAAGCATGGAGGCCATCATGTTCCCTCTTCCCCGAACCCTCTGTCCTCTTCAAAAGGTATCTGATTCTATCTTTTTAAAATTCTTTTATGTACAGTTTAGTACATTAGATTCATTTCTCCCCACACTATTGTTCTATAGCTTCTGACTTATTTGAAATCCTTGTAATGAATTTACATTATTTGAGACATGCTAATCTTGGGTTTGCGTCCAAATTAACAAAAAGTATATGTTGTGTCAAAAGAAACTCCACTATGAATTTCCCAGCGAGGAGGGCTTCTAACGGGAGCTCGTACACTAATAATCAGTTAATTTCGTTGATTATATTTTTTAATTTGCTAAAAAAAGAATCTGGGTTCATTGCTGCATATAATTAGTGTAAATCTATGCATGTAACCCTCATGATTACTTTTTTCTTCTTCTTTCTTGTGCAAATGTTATGGAATATTCACATATCTTAGTTTTGGCTTGTGGGCTCATTCATATTTCCTTATAAAACCTGTCGCCGACTTCTTTATATATGTTTATTATAAGTTCCTAACTAAAACATATCTATGTTGATGATTAATTATCCTATAGTAATGACAATCACAATGTCATGTGAATATCGTCTCAAACTTGAGAGCTTGAAAGAATCATACAGAATCGTTAAATCAATTTTTTTTTTTTGTTATATACTATTATTTACTTCTTTTACGTGTCTCTAAAAAGGTTTCGGTTTTATTAAGCGAGGCAAATTTGTTACTGAAAAACATCTCTCATATTTAACCAGAAACGAGATCGATTTGTATATGTGAGAAACCTTGTTAAAAATATTCATTTTCAAATAACTACTTCATATATATATGATGATGATGTTGCTGGATTTGAAGAGTTTGACAGGGAAGGGGCACATTGATATGACAGTGTCTCCAAATCAAAAGCCCTAAGCAATAAAATCATATGTTTGTGTTTTAGGGTTTTGCCTTTTTAGTTCTCTAAGGGTAGGCAAATCATAAGCAAACGGTCTAAGCAGTATAGGGGACGTATAGAGGTAATATCCACTCTATATATATTGTGTTTTATGACCTTGAGAAATAGATTGATTAGGTTTATTTTGTATCGATCCTACAAGACAAAAAAAAAAGAAGCTTGCTTGCCACATGTATAACTATTTGTAGCTGCCAAAAAAAAAAAAAGTATAACTATTTGTATGTGACGTGTGACCCAAATCATTGTCTCTATAGCACGAAACTAATAGATGTATTCTTATTTTTATTTTCTTTGTTCAACAAAAAAATATAAATGTATATTCGTCAATATCTTTACTCGACATCTACTTAGAAATTGCAAAACCACTTTTATACTCTATAACCGGAAGAACCCCTATTTAGAAAACTAACACAAAAAAACATTTTTGAACTTGTTAAACATTGATATATTATTTTTGGTTAGGAGCACTGCTAAAGTGTGATAGAATCCTGAAATAAAATAGATAAAATGATGGAACCATTATCAATACTACTGGGCTGCTGGCTCACAGTACCTCGGAATGACACATAGTTGGGCCCTTGTTGGGCCGACATTGAATCGGTTCAGATGTATATAGACTATAGTCAATTGCGTCCATTTAACCTCTAAGATCAACCCAATTAGTTGGATTAAATTGAACTACGAATTTTTTTTTTTGTGCGAAAAATTGAACTACGAATATATTTTATTTTTCTGACTTCAATTGGAGTACAAAATTATTTTATCCGAACAAAAGTGTAACTAGAAGTTTGTGCCGCGTCGTTATAGTATTTTACAAGGAAAGTACCAAATTATCGGCACTTTTTTTTTGTTAATAAGACGGATTGTTGTTTTCAGCCAAATAATTTTATTAAATAATAACAGAAATTTCGCCATAATCGAATTATCCAAAATCTATAACCGAATAAACCATACCTATAAATTATATCCTAACCAAATTAGTGGACTAAAATTTCACAATAGACAAGATTAGAAGGTGAAATTGTTTTGCCATAGGCTTTCGCTGGGAAACTATTAAAGTAGATGCCAAATTTTTTTGTTCTGTTTGGTCAAATTCGCGACATCGTAATTAGAAAATGTGCATTATGATTTGACGACGATCGGCGAGGAGGAAGAGAAGAAGAAGCAAAAGTGTCGCCCTTGGATGAGTTTCCGATCCACGATTCCGTCGGTGAGCTCAGGATCCGAAGAAGGAAACCGCGGAATCCGAATCTGATCTCATGTCGTTCTCCTTCTTCAAGCCATCGAGGCCTAAAACGCCTCAAGAGGTCGTGAAGGCCATCAGAGACAGTCTCATGGCTCTCGACACCAAGACCGTCGTCGAAGTTAAAGCCCTCGAGAAGGTTCTCTCTCCCTCTTTCTTACACATTTTTGTGTCAAAGTTTCTACCTTTACGCCTGACTGTCGAATTTTAGATATGTGGGTTGCTTCACTCTTATTTTGAATTGTGGATGTGAGAGGTCGATTGCTTACTGTAGTTCACTTGAATCGCTGAATTTGAGCCTTTTTGTTTCCTCTATTCGTTTTTGGTTCTGTGGGATGTTAGGCAAATCTATTTTGTGTATCGAAGAATGCAGAATGTTATCTCCCACGAAAGTGTATAATGGTGTTTTCTCTTTTGTTTTAGGCTCTGGAAGAAGTTGAGAAGAACTTTTCATCTCTGAGAGGAATGCTTTCTGGAGATGGCGAGGCTGAACCAAATGCTGAGCAAGCTGTACAGTTAGCATTAGAGTTTTGCAAAGAAGATGTGATCTCTCTTGTTATTCATAAGCTACACATTTTGGGTTGGGAAGTAAGTGAGAGTTTTACAGTTTGGCTTTCCTTTGTGCGTTTGTGTCAATGGAAACTCTTGTAAACCCGTTGAGCTATGTTTCAGGCAAGAAAAGATTTGCTGCATTGCTGGTCTATCTTGTTGAAGCAAAAAGTCGGCGAGAGTTATTGCTGTGTGCAATACTTTGAAGACCATTTCGAGTTGCTCGACTCTTTGGTTGTATGGTAAATACTGTAAAGATTTGATATTTTTTTCTCTATCTGGCTGAAAAATTCCCTCTTTAGTCAATAATACCGAGAATTCACCATTTATGAGCAGCTATGACAACAAGGAGATTGCTCTGCATTGTGGAAGTATGCTTAGGGAATGCATTAAATTCCCAAGTCTTGCTAAGTAAGACAAAACCCAATACCATGCTTTTTCGTTTCAGTGTGATTCAAAAGCTGTTTCAGTGAGTTTCACTGACACGCAATGATCGAGATTTTTGTTTTTGTTTTTTCATGCGGTTAAATTTTTTGTAGTGCCTTTTCAGGTATATTCTAGGGTCTGCTTGCTTTGAGTTATTCTTCAAGTTTGTGGAATTGCCAAACTTTGATGTTGCTTCTGATGCATTTTCAACATTCAAGGTGATCTTTCACTGTGTTTTGATTTGGCCTTGTTTCGGAATTTTTGCCTTATTTATTCATCACTTTTATTACCTCTTTTGCAGGATCTTCTCACAAAACATGACTCTGTAGTCTCCGAGTTTCTCACCTCTCATTACAGTGAGGTTTGCTTCAGCATCTTTTAATAAATGAAATATACATTGTGAACACTTCTTCTTCTTTAGCTGACGGAGGAATATCTATGGTTATTTCAGTTCTTTGATATTTATGAAAGACTGTTGACATCATCGAACTATGTGACGAGAAGGCAATCGCTGAAGGTTTTGTTCGCCGCTACAAACCTTTTACTCTATTTTGGTGCTGTATTCATCTCTATATCACCTCTTTTACAATGTAGTTTAACAATGAAACTGTTCGTGGTTGATTTAGCTTCTCTCGGATTTCCTATTGGAGCCTCCAAATTCCCACATAATGAAGAAATTTATCTTAGAAGTTCGTTATATGAAAGTGATCATGACACTTTTAAAGGTGACCATTGAGTTTGTGGCTTCATCACTTTTATCTTCTGGTTCATTTTGTCACAAACTCATCATTTTTGTTTTCATGTTCATTTGAGTTAGGACTCGAGCAAGAATATTCAAATATCAGCCTTCCATATATTCAAGGTGAGATGTCACCTTGTTAATTTGGTAACTAACTGTTCATAGGTCTCTGAGGATGAAGTTATTATCAGATTTTGAAACCTCATTTATTTTTGCGTTTACAGATCTTTGTTGCGAATCCTAATAAGCCGCAAGAAGTGAAGATCATTCTGGCAAGAAACCACGAGAAATTACTCGAACTTCTTCACAACTTGTCCCCTGGTAAAGGTAGAACTGCAACTACTTCCATACTAATTTTATATGCGTTACACTTTACTCCATTACTCAAAATCTTGTTTAGGTTCCGAAGATGATCAATTCGAAGAGGAAAAGGAGCTGATCATCGAGGAGATCCAAAAAATGTCTCGCCTGCAAAACCTCGAGCTTTGAACATTCTTTTGCCTCTTCATCTCTCTCTCTCTCTCTCTCTCTCTCTCTCTCTCTCTCTCTCTCTCTCTCTCTCTCTCTCTCTCTCTCCCTCTCTCTCTCTCTCTCTCTCTCTATCTGTTCCACGCGGTGATTCCGAGTCCTGCAAAAGAAGTTTCTAGTGAACTCTCTGTGTCGAAGTTTCTCATGTCTGTTTGTCTAAAACATGAAACTACTGGTTTTTTCGAATGAATGGAGTAATATAACTTTTGATTCTCTGTGACAGACGAAAGACCATGACTTGTATCTTCTTGAAAGACCATAACACTTTTGTATGCCTTTGGATATCTTTTATATGAAGATTGTGTTTTTGTATCTAATATTTGAAATGGATTAAACTCCTCATTCAATTGAACCCTCTTTGTTTGTTTATTCCGTAACAGAGAAACAAAAGATTACAGATCTGCGACAACAAAAAATGGATTCGACCTTTTTGCCGATGAATCAACCTAATGTTACAGTTTTTGCGAGCCACACAAGACTCCCAACAAAATTAGTTTCTTTCAGGCAATCTCTAGAATCTCATTTAAAGAAGCTGCAACAGTATCAGGCATCTTCAGATTTCTCATCTTTTGGAGTGCATCATAAGTCCTATCAGAAGGCTTCAGACCTAAGGCCTTGAGCTCCTGGAATAGTTCAATGCCTTTCTCAACCTTGTTCTCCTTGCAAAACCCTTGAACCAGAGCATTATACGTGATTGCGTCGGGTGTGACCCCTTTGTCAGACATTTTCTTGAAAAACTCGAATGCCTGGTCTGCTCTTCCATACGAGCAGAAACCTGTGATCATCGTATTGCAGCTCACCGTCGTTTCCCCATACCCGTTCTCCAGCATCTCGCTGTAGAGTTGCCGAGCAAGCACAACTTCGCCTCTTTTCAAGTGAGCGTGTATCATCACATTGTAAGTGAACTCGTTAGGTCGCATCCCTTTCTTTATCATCTCGAACCACAGCTTCCTCGCGCTCCCGAACCACCGCATCTCACATAATCCATGGATCATCGTTGTGTAGATGACTCTGTCAGGTGCATAGCCTTTCTCTTTGAGCTCGTTGAATATACAAAAAGCCTCGTGCTGCTTGTTATTCTTACACAGCCCCTTTATAATCTCTTGGTATGTATAGATACTCGGGAAATGGTTCCAAGCTATCATCGTATGGAGAATCTCCGACATACAAGCGTAGTTCCCAACCCGACAGAACCCGGAAATCAATCTGGCATACACAGCATGCCCTGGATCAAGCCCTTGTTTCAAAACCTTCTTGAGAAGTTCATAGCCTTCTGAAACTTCCCCACCATCGCACAAAGCTTGAATCAAACACTGAGTCCTCTCGAGATCAACAACATCAGAATCTGTCATGGCATGGTGAATTTCCCAGAAGCGATCTCGTTTCCTCGCTTTCAAGCAACCTAACAAAACCGAGTTGCAGGTTGCAACTGAAGGGGCAGTTCCAGTTTCTCTCAGTGCATTGTACATTTGTATACCTTCATCTACTAACCCTTCTTCACAAAGACACTTCACGTATTGCTCCAATAACTTTGCATCTGGTTTAAAAGCAGTGGTCTCGAGTAAGCCTTTGGCAGCTTTCACGGCTTTTGCATCCAAAAGGGCACCGAAGAGAAGGTTCAAAGATACAGGATCAGGTGTGTGATCGTAGTTCGAGCAAAGCCATTGGAAGAACCACATAGAAAACAGAACATTGTTCTGAGATCTCAACAGTTCTCGGAAAAACAAAGGATCTGCGAAATTAAACGACGGGAAATCGGATACCAGAGCTTGCTGCCACCTCTGTCTCTCTCTCATGATCGTAGAGACGGATTTAGCCATTTCCGTATAACTTATCACACCTCCGGCCGATTTCTGCAGCTCATCGGAATTGGATTCGCTCTCGCGAGACTCGACGGTTAGGCTCCGTATCTGGGTGTTAGGGTGGTTCTGTCGAGTTCGGTTTCTGAAGAGAGTGATGAAATACGACTGACCTCTACTCATTGCGTTATCGCTAACTTTGAGCTTAGACGCAATTCAAGCTCGAAGCAGCATTAGACGCAAATGTTACAAGAAGTCGAATACTTCACCGGAACCCTAGATTTGGATTGATCCCCGATTTGATTTGGATCTTCTGTAATCGGAGGAGTGATGAAAGGTTTTCTTTTTTATCTTCTTCGCACTAAAAAAATGTTGTTTTTTTCTTTCAATAATGTAAAATTTTGGAGTGAAAAAATTGAAGTCAAGTCTAATTACAGTACATCCATAATAAAGATTATATTATGTCAATAATGTTATGACTTCAAATTTAATTTGGTCCGAGTTAAAAAATGTCAAATTGACGGATAAAAAAAGGGCTTGCTTCCTCTTCTTCTCTCTCTATCTCTCTGTATCTGTGTCTATCGTCTTCGCCGAAATCCCTAATAAATTCGTTCCGACCACCATCAATTTCCCGCCAAAGAGAATGTGGACGGTCGAGAAATGAACCGTCACTGTGAATTTCAATCGGCGCATAGCTGAGAGTTTCGAGCTTTTCTCTCGCAATCTCCGTCCTTTAACGGAAAAGTTTTTCCTTTCTTTTTTTGTGTGTTAGCTTTCTGCTTCGCCGCCGATTCGTTAATCTCCGGTCGCTTCGACGGGAATGGAGAGGTAATTTCTGGTGAAAAACTATGGCTGATTTGTTTTTTTTTTTTTTTTGCTCCTCTTAAATTTCATATCTCTTGTGTTGTTGCCTTCAATTAGATGAGTGTAGTTAGATTTCGAATCTCCTCTGTTTTTTTTTTTAAAACTCTAGCTCCACTCTTAGCTTTTTTCTTTCACTTTTTCGGTTTTACAAAGGAGGATAATTTGGAATCAATATCTGTTATGGAGTTTCTAATAGAAATTTGTAATGTGATGTGATAATGAATTGGTCGGATAATATTTGTGTGTATGTTCTCACATTGGTTGGACCAATTGCAGTGCAGATACTGGGCTTACCAGTTTCAACAACATGGTTGCGAAAGCATATCCGGTACGGGTTCTGAACCACAGCAACGGCGTAAACGAAGACGAACAAGGAGACTCAGGGGTCGAGCCTTTCGTTGGTATCGAATTCGACACAGCAGAGGAGGCTCGTGAGTTCTACAACGCTTACGCCGCGAGAACAGGTTTCAAAGTCAGGACTGGTCAGTTGTATAGATCAAGAACAGATGGTACGGTCTCGTCGAGAAGGTTCGTTTGCTCAAAGGAAGGGTTTCAGCTGAACTCGAGAACCGGATGCTCCGCATTCATCCGTGTCCAGAGACGGGATACAGGGAAATGGGTTCTTGACCAAATCCAGAAAGAGCATAACCATGAGCTTGGAGGTGAAGCTCATGTCGAGGAGACGACTCCACGTCCCTCGAGAACTCCTGCTCCCACAAAGCTAGCTGTAACGGTTAATCCTCATAGACCCAAGATGAAAGTCGTTGACGAGTCTGATAGAGAGCAACGGTCCTGCTCAGGCTCTTCCAAACGTTTTAAAAGCAGTGGTGGCGAAGGAGAAGTCAGCGATGATCATCATCATAAGGCGGTTTCCGGTAGTGAGCCGTACGCAGGGTTGGAGTTTGGTTCGGCTAACGAGGCGTGCCAGTTTTATCAGGCGTATGCGGAAGTTGTCGGGTTTAGAGTTCGGATCGGTCAGCTGTTCCGGTCGAAAGTCGACAATTCGATCACGTCGAGACGGTTTGTTTGCTCGAGGGAAGGGTTTCAGCATCCTTCGAGAATGGGTTGTGGAGCTTACATGAGGATCAAGAGGCAAGACTCTGGTGGTTGGATCGTGGACCGTCTCAATAAAGATCATAACCACGAGCTCGAACCGGGGAAGAAGAACGAGGACGGTATGAAAAAGATAACGGACGACGTGACGGGAGGATTAGACTCCGTTGATCTTATTGAACTTAACGGTTTCGCCAAGAAAAGCAGAGAAAACAGAATCGGCAAAGAATGGTATCCTCTGCTTCTCGACTATTTTCAGTCTAGGCAAACGGAAGACATGGGATTCTTCTACGCCGTCGAGTTGGATGTGAACAACGGAAGCTGTATGAGCGTTTTCTGGGCGGATAGCCGAGCAAGATTCGCCTGTAGCCAGTTTGGTGACTCCGTTGTTTTCGATACTTCGTACAGAAAAGGAAACTACTCTGTTCCGTTTGCTACTTTCGTCGGTTTTAACCATCACAGGCAACCCGTGCTTCTCGGGTGTGCCATGGTTGCTGACGAATCTAAAGAGTCTTTCTCATGGCTGTTCCAGACATGGCTTCGTGCCATGTCGGGTCGTCGTCCAAGATCCATTGTGGCTGACCAAGACTTGCCTTTTCAGCAAGCTTTGTCTCAAGTCTTTCCTGGGGCACATCATCGGTACTCAGCTTGGCAAATCAGGGAAAAGGAACGGGAGAATCTCAGACTGTTTCCAAGCGAGTTCAAGTATGAATACGAGAAATGTATATACCAGACACAGACAATCGTCGAGTTCGACTCTGTTTGGAGCACTCTCATCAACAAGTACGGTCTTAGAGACGACATTTGGCTCAGAGAGATCTACGAGCACCGCGAGAAGTGGGTTCCTGCGTATCTAAGAGCGAGTTTCTTCGCCGGAATCCCGATAAACGGAACCGTTGAGACCTTCTTCGGCGCTTCACTCGACGCTTTAACGCCTCTCAGGGAATTTATTTCACGGTATGAACAAGGACTGGAGCAGAGACGTGAAGAGGAAAGAAAAGAGGATTTCAACTCTTACAACTTGCAGCCGTTTCTGCAGACGAAAGAACCCGTGGAAGAGCAATGCAGAAGGCTCTACACGCTAACAGTCTTCAGAATCTTCCAGAACGAGCTCGTCCAGTCTTACAATTACCTCTGCTTAAAGACTTACGAAGAAGGAGCAATCAGTAGATTCCTGGTGAGGAAATGCGGGAACGAGAGCGAGAAACATGCCGTGACTTTCAGTGCGTCGAATCTCAATTCGAGTTGTAGCTGTCAAATGTTTGAGCATGAAGGATTACTCTGCAGGCATATCTTGAAAGTGTTTAACCTGTTGGACATAAGAGAGATCCCGTCTGGGTATATACTGCACCGATGGACCAAGAACGCAGAGTTTGGTTTTGTGCGTGATATGGAATCAGGCGTGAGTTCTCAGGATCTAAAGGCCTTAATGGTTTGGAGCCTGAGAGAAGCTGCTTCTAAGTACATAGAGTTTGGGACTTCGTCTCTGGAGAAATATAAGCTTGCTTATGAAATTATGCGCGAGGGTGGGAAGAAACTTTGTTGGCAGAGATGATGCGCTCGGCTTGAAACAAATATGTAAGATCAATCTTCTTTGGGTATGACTTGATATATCTAATCTTCTTCTTCCATCTCTGAAAGTTGCTGAAGTTTGTTGTAGGTATCTTTGGTTTACCGTTGGAGAAGGTGAAAGTCTTGTTCGCCATTCTAATCTTAACCCTTTTGATAACCTGTGTCGCTGCAAGTGGTCGCTGTTGTGGTGGAGGAGTTGGAGTTGTGGTCATCGTTGTTCGTAATGATAATCATCATTTGTAATGGCGCTTGGGGTGATAGATCGTTGACATGTTTATTCTCTTGTGTGTGTTTGTTTATGTTGTTCCAAAGGATCTAAGAAAGAACAGATCAGACTTAGGTTTTGGAGCGGGAAGATACAGATCATGTTTAGAGAATCAAATCGTTTGATGCAAGTAGAAGCATAGGATGTAATGTATTATCATATTATCAAAATCTCTTTGTTCATCATATCCCCTAGTTAATCATTTCAAATTTTACTCTCAACAGAATATCCAGTAACCATACGAGACTTGGGTGGATACGAGAGTGTCTCTACGTACGTAACGTACAGTGTCCTCTGCCTCGTACCCGCCCGGTAACACAGAATCCAGGTCTAATTCCGGTCAGTCTGTCCCGGTTTATAGTGGCCGTCGAACATTTTTTTTTAAGAAAGCGCCGTATACAAGCAAGGTATTAGAATTGACAAAAGAAGAAAAAAAATAGACGAGAAATACATCAGAATTACACACACATGGCACAACACACAAATTACACGATCTCAAACTCTCGATTTTGTCTGTGTAAACCGTTTTTAAGAAGAAAACCAATAAACCAATAATATATTTTTCTTTCATTTTAGAAATTCAAACTCTTCCTCCATGAGGCCTTTCTCCGGCGACTGTTTCTCCCACCCCGACGTGAATAGCTCCGGTACACAGCAACTGAGTAGCACTCACAATTATTGTCATCACTTCAAGAGTTCTCTGCACACAATAAAAAAAAAAGTATCAACAAAAAGAAAATCATATTTATCAAAGTTGCAAATTCACATTCGTAAAAATTAATAAGCTCACCAGATTTGCCTCGGTCCAGCCTATGTTGATCTCCTTACAGGCCAACCTGCACCAAAACCAATTCGATTCAGATTTTGGTTATTAACCGAACCAGATGAAAACCCGGTTTGATATAGTTATAAACCGGATGCTGAGCTTTATACCCCATGGCTAGGAGAGTGAGAGACCAGGAGATGAGAGAGGAAGCGGCGGCAGAGTGGAGATTCGGAGAGTCCCACTGAAGAACGTTCATGATTCCGGTGAGTGATGTGGCCATTCCTACGACGCCGGCGATCAACGAGAATATTACGAAAAAACCAGTCGCCATGTTCCCCACCGGGAAGAATATCGGGAAAATCTTCGCCGGAAGAGACAGCACCGACGCTGCAGATACACACACACAAAAAATGATGACATTTAATTATAAAATGTTGAATTTATTATTAATTCTGGTAATTAAAGTAATTACCGGACTCGCGAGCTCTCTCGATGCTGTGATTAACAGCCCAGGAAGCGATGACGGTGACGACGAAATAGAGACCAAGATTCAGCAGCAGAAGCATGAAAGCTGCCGACTTTGATCCTCCTGAAGCCATGCCTAAAGATTCTCTGAGTTCTCCGACAAGAATATAAAAACTCCTCAGAAAACCAGCAGACAGGTCCTTTCCTCTGTTTCTGTCTTGGGATAATCACAAGATCTCTGTATGTCTGTCTATATATAATAAGATACTTTTTATCCAGTTCATAGGAATAGAAGTCTCTTCAGCTGAAAGCAATGTTTTTAGTTCCTTACTTTGTCCTTAACTTTGAGCAAAGAATCAAATACGAAGCTTATTTGCTGTCCTCTGCGCAGAAGAAGAAGAAAAGAATAGCTAGAGACAGAGAAAGAGATAAACATAGACCCTTTTTCACGGGAAAATTTGTCACGCAGAAACTTTTCTAGAAAAATAAGACATACAGAGAGAAAAAGCTTGTTGCTTGGAACTTTTTCGCATATCTAAGACCAATAAATAAAAGAATATTTTGCATAAGTATCACATTTGTACATTGTTATTCATTCTTCTTGGAAAAAAAATGAATCATATTTGCAGCTCTAATGCAGAGCCCTGAGTTTTTTTTTTTTTGCAGGATGATTGTTTACGGTTTAATTATCCTCAAGAATTTTCAAGGCAAGCTCGGCTAGTGAATGGACCGTTCTGCTGTGACGGCTCACTCCAACAGTACCGGAGAAAACATCGAAGTTCTCGAGCTCAGCCGTAGTTTCTAGAACCTTCTCAAGCTCCTTCTCCAGACCCAACTCTCTAAACACCACTACATTGTTCTCCACGTCATCCTCCATCATCCAAACCGCCAGCTCGATCGCAAATCTCCTGATTCTTGGAACCTTAATCGCCGGTTTGTCGTGTTTCCTCAGAATCGTAACCAATGAGTTCGCCAGTTCTCGCCTCTTGATCCCTGACTCCATGAAGACATAGCTCGAGTCTTCCGAACTCATGAATCTAAACACTTGTGCTGCTAACCCCACCATCACTTCCTGTAGTTTGTTGTCCTCTGATGTTATTGACTTCAACACCTGCAACAAAACGAAGAAAGTTTCCTGATTTGTTACTCAACTTAGTAGATAGATTCGATTAGTAAACAAAAACGTGTATAAAGAATACTAACCGTTGGTGCTGCTGCTTTAACGAACTTGAGGTCATGAAAGCATTCATCCCCAGAGTATAAGCACAAGTTTCTCAACACTCTTGCAGCGTTCACACGGATCGAAGGAACTTCAAGTGCTTCCACAAGTCTTGCCATCACACCAAGCCTAAGAACATGGAGGCAGTTCCCTTTGCTCTCCAACACAAGCATCGCTATGGCTTCCCCTGCAGCGATCCTCACACATCCTTCATTCCTATCGTCCCCATGTGTTTCATGTTTGAAGAAAAGATGGAACAGCTCTTTCAGAACACCACCCGTCCCGCCAATTCTCTCTCGAGCCTCCGTCTCAAGCGCAAGGTTTGTCAATATCCCGATTCCGAGCTTCTGCAGCTTCGGGTATCTCTCTCCGTGTCTCAGCACATCCCTCACGTTGCTGACTGTGAAAACGATCTCCGAGATCTCTCTCCGGAGGCATTTCCCTGTGTTCCCGGTCGTGCTGGCTAACATTTTCACCAGCTGCAGCGACCGTTTCAACGTCAGAACCTGTGACCTAGCAACGTCTGCGTTCTCATCCCTCAGCAGAACTTCGTCCACGTGTGTGAAATCGATTATCTTTGGGAGAAGGCCTCTCGTGTTGCCGAGTTTCCCACAGTTGTCGTGATCTCTGGCTAGTTTCTTCAGAATCAAGAGTCCCAGGTTGTTGAATCTACAGAAGTCGTAGTGTAGATTATGGTCATGGAACACCTTTTTCTCCCCAATCTCATCAGGCGCTTCACCTGATGACCTCGTGCTCTCTAACAACGACGAAATCGACTCCATCGCACCAGAGATCCCAGCGACTCTTAAAGAGTTCTGCTTTTTGCCAGCTAGTTTCGATAGTATCTCAGCCGCTGATCTCCTAATCTCTTCCTCTTGCAGATCTTTCCAGTTCAGCATCTCTACCAACCTATTGAATAAGTAAATTTAGCAACAATTTCAATACTTTCTCTGTAAAAATGTGACATTTTGATATGTAAAGACCAAACCTTTCGACAACGGGGAAGTTGATTCCGATCTTCTCAAGTGTATCCTCTGCGTACCGTTCAGTCACTGCAAACTGCCTGAGAATCCTCGCTCCGATGAGCTGTTCATCAGAAGAGTTTGATCCCAAGAGATCCATACCAAAGCTCACTATATCCATCTTCAGGCCATCGAATATGCTCCCATTGACACACTTTGAGTAGGAATCGTAGAAAAACCTCTTGATCGATACCAAACCAGTGACACCAAACTCACACTCTCTCGTCACATTCTCAAGCAAGTTGCAGACACTGACTTGCCACTCCCAGTAAGCTTTCTCGGCAAGAAACAGCAGCGCCTCGGCGAAGGCCAGCGCGTAGAATATGTTGAGAGCGGACTGCCTGTTCCTCTTGTCCGTGTCTCCTTTGTGAACATCTCCATAGTTGTGCCTGACGAGCTTGTAAGAAGACAGTGCCACGCAGGCCGTTGCAGAGAGAAGCTGGAGCCAGTAAAGAAGCCGACTCACTGTGCTGGAGATGAAGGACCATCTGGCGTACGGAAGGAGAGGTACGTCTGGGTTCTTCCACGCCTCGTCGAACGTCGCTTCTCTAACGACGCAGTCTCTTGTCGTTGTCACTTCCCTTGATCGGCTTTCTAAGATCGGCTTGAAGATCAATTCACTGTTGAGTAACACAAACAATCGTTTATTCAAATGTAATCCTAATTCGGATTGATTGCAGTTTGTAAACGGAAAATTGAAAAATAGGGGGAGAAACCTGGTTCGTTTTAGATTTCTGAGAAGCGAGGCTGAGCTTGACCGGAGAGCGCGAAAGCTGCTGATTCCGACGCCGGCGACGGTCCACGTGGCTTGGTGCTGCCACTCGAGCTCGTGGCTTCTGCTGAAGATTCTGGCACCTTCGATTAGGAGAATGATAGTGATGAACCAGAAATCGGAACCGTCGAGCGTGATCGCGAAGCCGCCGAGAAGAACCACCGTGGCCCAGATAAACCCAAGGGTTCCGATTCCGGTGGCGGTTTTCTCAAGAATGGCGAGTTGTAGAGCGAATAGCGTTAGCTTCTTCTCCGGAGCCGGGATTGTTGATTTTCTCCGAAACGCGGTCGCGGAGGAGACAGAGGCTGCGTCTGCGGTTTCGCCGCTATCTCCTTTCTCAATGCTGCTTCTTATATCGAAAACGGTGTCGTTTGAGCCTCTAGCTTCCTCCAGTTCATGAAGCTCCGACACCTATACAGAGAATGAAGAGGGACATTGTACTTAATAGACATTTGGTAATTAAACATAGTACATCTGTCTTAAAAAACTGACTGTTTTGTAAAAAAGAAAACTTGTGACAGTAGTTTTGTAGCTAGTATCAGATTATCAGTGAAAATGTACTTTTGAACCATATATAAAGAAAGCTTTCAAGGAAATCTAAAAAGTGACAAAAACCTGCAAACGAATGCTTCGATCTTCTTCTTCTTCGGACTTCCTTGAACCCATTATAGACCTTTCGTTGTTTTAACTCGTTTCCTACTCAAATCGCCAATAGAAAAGTTTCTCTTTTTCTTTCTTTCTTTGTCTTTTTTGAGGAGTTGTTGATGATGCAGAGAAATGTGAAAAGCGTGATTTTACATTCTTCATATATATGTATATGTATGTATATATATAGAGTAGAGGGAAGGATAAAGAGAGGAGAGAGATGGAAGCAAATAAGCAAAAGAGTAGAGGGAAAGGCTGCAAATAAGCTAATAACGCAAGAGGAAATGTGCAAGAAAGTATAACTTTAAGATAATTGTTGTATGCTTCACCTAGCAATTTTATGACCTAAAGTTACATTTAACAACAGCAACAAGAAGAAAAAACACTTTTATTTATGACATGTTATATTTATACCTTAATACAACTTTTTCTTTCTTCTTCTTTTTTCGTTTTTGTTTTGACATCCTTTTTTCCTTATATCTTTAAGCTTTTAAAACAAAAGTTACTGTTGTATTCCTCATACTTAAAAGGTTACAGATTGCTAATATCATGGTTATATGTTGATTGGCTTATATCCTTATAAAAGAAGCCCAGGCTTGGTTTTACCTTCCATCACCAATAAACTGACTGTTTTAACCTTTTAATAAATAAATAAAAACAATATTATTTACATATTACTATTTTCAGAAGGGGAAATCTAAATACTATGATCTGTTATTGTCCTTACATCAATTATTGGATGATTTATGTGCCGTAGTTATGTTAAGAAAAGCCGTGCTTGTACTTACGGTTACAAGTAGTTTGCTTTGTATTTGCGTCTACAATTCGTAGAAAATGTTTGGTAAAGAAATTCTCTTACTCTTTTGTTTATTTATTGTAAACATACATTTAAAACCTAAAACGCAGAACGATGATAATTTACATCCTTAATATTATTAGTCTAGTAATCTATTATCTAGACCTCTAAGTGCAGTGCATAACATTCATGTAGCAAAACGAAACCTATAATGTGAAAAACAGCTTATTTTTTCTTTTTGGTTTGTTTCCTAGAATTTCATTTGGGTTATTGAGAAAATGAAGAAAAATATCGTTTTAAGTTATATTTGGTTTGGAGAGTTTGTACTTGTGTTTTAGATAAGTCACGGATTATTGCATTATTAGTACTAAAAACGTTGACGTACGCAAGTGTAATTAAATATAATTATTAATTAGCTAGTCAATAACTCGGTGAGAGTAATGGTGACTTGCAAGCATATGGGTTCCAGCAGAAGTCTTCTTGTGTGAAGCTAAAGGCTCAAATGGGATCCTCCTCTTTTAGGACCCACTTAATCCTCTTATAGTAGACAAAAGCACATAGTTCCCATTTAAAATAACCAAATTTGGTAATCTGTAAAATCAAATATCAAACCAATGTACTAACAGACAAGATAGGGGTATAAACATCGCAAAAAGATTGGTTCTTCCAAATCCTTGCAAGACAAATGATATTTTCACTCTCCATTATGAAATCACACAAGATTACAAGAAAACTTGTTTCTGATACGATACGTGAAATCGAAATCGAAGCTTAATGGTAAATGGGGACATTGGTGAACAAAGCGAAATAGCTTCCAAAAATAGAATTTCAACAAATCAAACTACTTGAGAAGAACGAAAGAGATCATCAAATTCTAACAATTCTCTGATGAACCTTAGACTTCTCAGCATCGATAATGGATTCCACACGCTTGACCGAATCTTCAAGCTTCCCTTTCGCATTAACCACGACGTAATCAAAATTCTTCACATGCCTAATCTCTTCTCTCGCCGTAGCAACTCTAACAAGCAGCTCCTCGTGACTCTCCGTTCTCCGATCAACCAACCTCTCAACCATCGCAAGCTCACTCTCCGCCACAAGGAAGATGAACACTGCAGAGCTCCCAAGAATCTTCCTAAGCGTCTGAGCCCCTTGAATGTCGACTCTCAAAACGATGTCGTATCCTTTCGCCATGAACTCTTGGATCTGCTTTTTGGGGATCCCTTTGTAATCTCCGTAGACGAGTGCGTGCTCGAGCAGCTCGTCTTTCTCCACCATCGTTAAAAACTCATCTTTCGAGACGAAGAAGTAATCTTTGCCGTCGATTTCTCCCGGACGCATCGGACGGCTCGTAGCCGTGACGACGAAATGGAGACTTTCACGAACCTCGCGGAGCTTGTTGATCACCGCGTCTTTTCCGACTCCGCTTGCTCCGCTTATCACGATGACGAGAGGGTTCGGAGGAGGAGTTATCGGATCGTCGCTGAAGGAAGAACCCAGATGGAATTCGAGCGCGCGAAGCAACTCGGGTTTTGTGGATGATGGGATTGCGGCCGAATTAGGGTTTTGAGGGGAATCAGACATCTGGGTATCGGAGATTTTCAAGGAGAAAGAGCGGAGACGCGAAGATTGATGGAGAGATTGTGGATAAGATCCCGATTTAAAGATGGGTCTGGTCGAAATCGGGAATATGGAGGAACGGGAGAGAGAAGAAGAGAGTTTCCGAATCATCTGAGGATTAAAGGAGGAGCATTTGGGGATACAGAGAGAGATTAGGGTTTACGGTCTTTAGCTTTAGCTCGGAGTTGACGGTGAATTCTTTGCTTCGGTCCGACTCTGACCCACTCCTCTTCTCGATGGTTCGTTTCAAAAAAATCATTTCTTTTAAAGCCATTTAATAAATATTTTCAACTTATTGTCCAGAAGGTAAAAAACCTTTTTGATTTCGTTATTATAATCAAAAATAATTTTAAACGTGTCTACATAATGTGAAAATAGGCATGACCGCATTTAGTTTGCAGGTTTTCGTTTTTCCGTTCGAAACAGATGTGGTCTGGTCAAGTCCGTCCGTATGTTTGGCGTACAATAAATCTAAGAACAGAGATACGATAACAAACAATTAAACAAAGATAGATATACTACAAGAATACGATAAAAATATATATATATACAGAATATATATTATTGTTTAATACACGGCCCAATAAGACCCAAGAGATGTGAAGAAGCATAGCTTAAAAAGGAAACTGAGTCTATATTCACATTTATTTTTCTCTTTTATCGTGAACATTAAGATTTGCACGTAAATAAAGATTAAATGACTTTTAATTATTTTGACGTTTTAATTGGCTGCCTTTCTCTCCTAACTTGTGTTTATAAACTTCATTATCATCACTTTCTTTCATTCTCTTTTCGTCTTCGTCTTCCTCCTCCCTTTTCGTTTCCACCGACGTCATCGATCTACTTTCTGGGTCGATCTCTGCCGGAGACTTTCGCCGATTATCATTCTCCGTTCTGTTTCCTTCCGACTCCGGATTTCGGTTTCGTCTCTTTTGTGATTTCTTTCAAAAACCCCAAATTTTTGTTTCGGAATTATTGACCTTTGATTTTTCGCTCCTGAATCCTGATTTTGTTTTCTGGATTCATCCCGGATATTAAGAGTTTGATTCCTCTAGAATTCTTCCAGAGGGAGTAAATCGGAGACCTTTTTTTTTGTTTTTGGACCAACCATCAATTAGTTTTTGGGATCCCGTCTTTGTTGATGGGCACAGCTAGGGTTTGCCCGGAGGTTTCTGGATCTTCGAGATCGCTTAGCTCCCCGGTCACGGTGTCGACCTCTCGCACAGAAACCGTCAATGGCTTCCACGAGTTCAAGGTCAGCGGCTACTCTCTCGCCAAAGGCGTTGGGGTCGGCAAATACGTCACCTCCGATACGTTCATGGTCGGCGATTACTCGTGGTCGATCTACTTCTACCCAGACGGAAAGAGCCCAGAGGACAACTCGGCTTACGTTTCTCTGTTCATAGCCCTCGCGAGCGAGGGAGCCGATGTCAGGGCTCTGTTCGAGCTCACGCTCGTGGATCAGAGTGGTAATGGAAAGCACAAGGTCCATAGCCATTTCGGAAGAGAACTCGAGAGCGGACCCTATACTCTCAAGTACCGGGGAAGTATGTGGTGAGTAAATTTGCGTTTTTGAGTGATTTCTTGTCATTTTGGTTGAATCTTTTGATGAATTTAGAATGTTTTGATATGGCTTTGTGATAGATTATTGTTGATGATGGTATTTGATGGTTGCTTGGTTCAGGGGATACAAGCGGTTTTTCAAGAGGTCGAGTCTAGAATCATCGGACTATCTGAAGGACAACAGTCTCTTGGTTCGGTGCCGTGTCGGTGTGGTGAAGTCGCGCACGGAGGCGCCGAGGAGTTTCAGCATCCCAGTCCCAGCTTCTAACTTGGGCCAACAGTTGGGAAAACTTTTGGAAAGTGGGAAAGGTTGTGATGTTAATTTTGAAGTCGACGGAGAAACTTTCCCTGCGCACAAGCTGGTTCTTGCATCGCGTTCACCGGTTTTCAGGGCACAGCTCTTTGGCCCGTTAAGAGATCGAAATACTCAACGTATAGAGATAAAAGACATGGAGTCCCCCATTTTCAAGGTCCTTTCTTTTACACTCTCTTTATGGGATTGACATCTCGCATCTGTTTGGTCTGGGAATGTGTAGGTAGATATCTACAGTCCATGGGTTTTACAAAGGTCTTATAGGAAGAGTTAGATTTCTTGGTTCCTTGCCCCTTTTTTTCTCTCGGGTGAGTGAGTGATTGTGGTGTCATACAGGATGTTTCTATTCACGGATGTACTATCCGGGATCTTCTCCTGGGGCGCTACTTCTGTTCTCGTGTTTTCTCACCCGAGATAAGGTTCTTTCTTTCTGCTCCTCTTCCTGGTTGGTTCCATGAATGTCTGTTTTCCTCTTATTTCTACTAGAGACGTCATCTATGTGATTGAACTTGATGAACAAATTGAATCTTGAGGATATTAGTTAAGATTCGCTGGTGGGTTTAGAGTTTCAGATTTTAGAAAATTCGAAGTTTTATGATGTAATCAAAACCTAATTCTATCTTCCTTTGTCATGATAGGTCCTAAAAGTCGCTTCTAGGGTTATTAGTCCTTGCTAAGTCCTAATAGTTTTAATGTGGATGTGTAACCTGATACAAACTGTCCTTTCACCTATTTGTGCAGGTACTGCTCCATTTTATCTACTGGGACGAATTGCCTGATATGCAAGAGTTAATGGGCGCAGACTCTAAATCGGCTTCGACTCTGGTGGCTCAGCACCTGCTTGCTGCAGCAGACCGTTACGCTATTGAGCGGCTTAAAGCAATCTGTGAGTCAAAACTCTGCGAAGGGATCGCCATAAACACAGTTGCAACCACCTTGGCCCTAGCGGAGCAGCATCATTGTTTCCAGCTAAAAGCGGTCTGCCTCAAATTTGTCGCGTTGCCAGAGAACCTGAAAGGTAAAAGAACATTCTTTTTGCTGTAAATATTGATCTGAGTCAACTCTTGAGAGACTTATGTTACTTTCCCTCCTTTGTTTTTATCAGCTGTGATGCAAACAGATGGGTTTGATTATCTAAAAAAGAGCTGCCCATCTTTACTGACTGAGCTATTGGTGTATGTGGCAAGGCTTAGTGAACACTCTGTTATAGCATCTGGGCATCGGAAAGATATATTTGCGGATGGTTGTGATGCAAATGGAAGACGAGTGAAGCAGCGGCTGCATTGATCAGATCTGTGCATTGTATAATCTCTTTTAAGGATAATGGCTGGTCGGGATCCGATCAAGCAAGTACAATTGTTTTTTAACGCTTTCTTTTATAATCAAAAGAGCTAATGGAATTTGGGGATTAATCTTGGTGTCTATCAAAGCTTTGAGTGAGAATATTATTGATTCTAAAAGGAAAAGAATTTGAAGACAATATAATGTTACAACGTGTTGATAGACAAATGTCGTTTTAAAATCACAAAACAAAGCCTATGAAGACAAATTACATGACAGGATCCTGTAGGACAACTCTTTTCTTCTTTATCTTACCACCGTTCTTTGACTTCTTTCCCTCGTCTCGCTATGGATGACTCAAAGTGCTCCTGTTTTGGCTCTACTGTGGGACGTGAAGTGGAAGAGCTTCTTCTTCTAGACCCAAAACATTATCTTAGTACCAGCGACTCATTGATGCATCTTGTGCTGCAGCAACTTTCTGTGGTATATACTGAGGGTTTTGTTTCAATCTGCTTGGACCTTCGGTGGCGACGCAGTCTTCATCTCCTCTGCTGCTTTTGCAAGGTTGACTTCTCTTTGGGTATTGAGCTGCACCAGCTGGGTTTCTGACCATCCTACGCTGTTGTTGTTCAAGAGCTTCGACACCAGTGGCTGCGCCACAGTTGTTATAGCGTAGCACTGATCCAACTACTTTTCCAGGCCTAGCTACTGCGGCACCTGCTTCGTTACAACAAGGTAGAAACGTTCAGAAACCAGAGAAGTTCTGCATCATAAGAATATAAACAGATAAGAGCGTGAGACCTTGGATTGTCTGAGGGACGTTAATAGGAATTCTCGACATTGGCATCTGGGGATTCCTGTCTGTACCTCGAGGTCTCTCTGTATCTCTGATGCTACACTTGGAGAGTCCATCAGTGACTTCAGCTGAACTCTGTTGTGCCACCGCATGATTGTTGTTGTCAGAGTACAAAACACAAGCCCTGCAAAACATAAGAAAAAGAGACTTGTTTGTGCTGTTTCCAAAAGAACCACATGTCATCAAATGTTCGAAAGGAAGTAAAAAGCATACCTAGGTAATGACGCGTGCTGCTGCCTCTCGGGGGGATTATGAGAAGTACCATTCTTGTAGTGTTCCTCGAGGTAAGCAAACTGTTTCTTGAAATGTTCCACCGCACTGCACAAGAAATAATACAACATCCAAAAGATCATGAACGAGTACACAAGAGTGTAGTTATGAAAAAGCAGGTCAGCTCAGGACAGTACCTTGGGTACATAAAGTTAGTTGGCTCTGATCCATCCAAATATTCTTTCAGCATCTTCGGGTGGTACTCGAGAGACTCTCTGTATATGAGCTCTCGCACGTCTTCTTTTGTGATCCTCCGCCTCTCGAACTCGAATTCCAACTTTGTGACAGGTTGAGCAGAGGGCTCTCTCTCGACCTTGGCCAAACCCTTAAAGTACGGATCCGCAAGCGCCTAACACAAACCACCATTTTAGTTTAAATACAACCAAACTTATATCATAAGAGTGTAATGAACGAAATGTGTGAAGCACCTCTTCAGCTGTAGGCCGGTCCTTGGGTTCAAAAGACAACATCTTCTCTAGAAGACGAAGAGCGAGAGGATCAGCATGTGGAAACTTATGTGAAAAAGGAATAGGCTTCTTCTTCCTCATGCTGCTTAAGTATCTTCGAGCTTTCTCGTTCCTCACCTGTCACATTCATTGCAAGCAATTCAGGCAAGAAAAGAAACAATGCAGCCGTGCTAAGCATTGTGGAAAAAGGAAAGGGACACTGACCCTTCCAATGGCTTCTGCAGATGGAGTTCCCAACATATCAGTCATCAAATCCAATTGATGGACCACATTTTTCCCGGGGAAAAGAGGTTTCCCTGTTAAGAGCTCTGCAAAAATGCACCCAATGCTCCATATATCTATCGCCGGTGTATACTGAATATAACCAAAGATTAAAAGAAAAACATTACTACGATAACTACAATCTACAGGAGAAAGCTCTAGTGACTTTTACTATTCTATCTACAGATTTAAAACATTTGATGAAATAACGTATGCAAAATAATGGTCACCTTTGAGAAAAACGATCCACAGAGTTCTGGAGCCCGGTACCATCGAGTAGCTACATAATCCTGTGATCACAAAGCAATTAGGGGAAAAAAAAAAATTGGTTTCATGCCAAAAAAGAGTAATCTTATAAAGAAGTAGGCATTGTATTATATCACTCACAGTCCAGAATATCGCAGTTGGTGTATCATTGAACGCGACTCTTGCGAGTCCAAAATCACAGATCTTGAGTTTGCAATCAGCATTCGCCAATATGTTTTTGGGTTTTAGATCCCGATGAAAGACATTAGCTGAAAGAGAAAGAAACAAAAAAAGTTCAAGAAAAAACGTATAAGATCATCCAAAACTTATGCTAAACTTATGAAAACTTGCAAGCTTAACCTGTGTGTATATACTTGAGGCCACGGAGAAGCTGATAGAGGAAAAACTGGTAATGCTCAGGGGTCAAATCATCGTTGGCCTTGATAACCTGATGCAGATCAGATTCCATGAGCTCGAAAACCACGTAAATGTCTCTGAACTCCCTTCTCGAAGGCGGCAGCAATATGTGTTTGATCTCAACAATGTCTGGATGACGCAGGAGCCTGAGAAGCTTGATCTCACGGAGAATCCGGGTTGCATCAGAGACATGCTCGAAAATGTCGTTGATCTTCTTGATCGCGACTTTCTCTCCCGTGTGCGTATCGTAAGCCGAGCAGACGACTCCATAGCTTCCTTTACCAATGACTTCCTCGATTCTGTACCTGCTTCCTTCGCCGTATTCAGTGAAGAAATCTACTTCGACTGATGACTGAATATGCATAAAAAGCCAATTTCAGTAGCCAGAAAAAAAAAACGCTTTCAAAAAGAAAGATCAACGAAAGAAACTTGGATTTAATTATCTGAATCTGAGCAAGAGAAGTAGTAAGATTAAAGACTAAACTAAAAAGGCAGTGATAGTGCGTAAGGATTGCTACAGATCCTAAGTAGCATAATCGGATCTCAACATCTCTGTTCTGCAAATCTGAAAATCTTTAGATATATAATTTGACATTGAAGAGAAAGAAAATTCCCGACCTTTTTGCGCTGATCAGGGTGCATCTTCAGCTACAGGGCATTCAAAATTTAACAACTTCCAAAACCAGAACTTGGTGAGCTTCGAATCGATATAACGCGGAGAAATTGCAAAGATTGAGATCGAGAATGAAGCAGAATCTACTCAATTGGCTTCCCAAATCCACCGGCAAGTGAAACAAATGAGCTAATAACGCAATGTCAAAACCCAGAGCTCTTTTATCCAAATCCCTAAATCCAGAATCGAACAGAGCGGAGAATGAAACGAATCAGGAACACTTCCCCGAGATTTAAGTGTGGAACAACGAATTTCTAATCGAGATTTCGTTACTTTGCAAGTGAAATCAATGGGATCAGAATAAGAAGAAGGAAGAAGAAAAATCTAGATGGGTAATTTGAGAATAGCTTTAGTATCCCAGTGAAATGAAGAAAAAACGAGATTATTATCTTCTTTGATCAATCTCTGCTTAAAAATCACTCTGGAAATAGGAAACAAAAAGGAGACGGTATGTTCAATAGACGAGAAGCCTTTTATGCTTCAGAAACCTAAATACCAAAAATGATTCTCTGAACTTATGCAATTTTCTTTTAGGATCTGAATCTCACAAGTCAAGCAAGAGATAGTGAAAGAGAGAGAGAGAGGTACAGAGGTAGAAGAAGAGACGAGTTTCTCCCTTTGTAGAAGAAATCACAGAGAGATCTATATTCTCAAAATGATGAAGAACAGAACAGAACAAGTATTAATATGATTTATATTTTATTTTATTTTGCTTTTTTGTGATAATTGAAAAAGCAGATAAGTGGAGTCTGATTATCCTACTACGAAAAGTCTAAGTTGCCCTCAGGTTTATGGGTACTCGCGACTTTGGAGGAAAACTAGCTTTTGGATAATGTCCAAAGGACGAATATAATAGTTTAGATATTTTGTATATACTAATTTTTTATGATCATTCTAATTAGTACTAATAGTTATCCGGTGTATTATGGATTATCACTTGTATAATTATTAAAATAATTGTAGTTCGATAATGTTTTTAGTTTTTTCCATGACATTTGTTAGTAAATGAAGTAGAGTATCTCACATCTCATGTGACAAAAAATAATGAAGTAGATTATCCTATAAATTTCCAGTTACACTTAAAGGGATAAGCTAAATAATTTATTTTTCGAAGATACATAATGAATAAAAACATCTAAAAGTTGAAAATTATCAATTTGTTTTAAAATGTACATATATTTAACTATATATATAGACAACATGTGTGAATTGTGTATTAGATACTTATTAAATTTGTGTACGCAACGGCCACTTTGGTTTTTATTTCAGGTATATATTCCATATGTTCTCTGCTCTTTTTCTTTTCTAAATTGTTATATTGAGTTTTTGATCATATTAATGTATCAGATAAATAATTTAAAATTCATTGAGTATTACAAAAATGTATCATTATAAACATATAATGAATATGCGTAAATTATTATAACTAATGATAGGAAGCCTTAATTTAAAAACTTATCATTATGTTCTTGCCACACAATAATATACAATCGTTATAAACAAACCCCAAAGAAACCCAAGGGGGAATGAAGGGTCACGATTCACGAAGAACCGTGGAAATGCTTCAGTCCATGTGCATCACATGACTTTTATTATGATGTTATCATAAAATACCAAAAAAATATGGAGTAATAATTATCTTTTCTTTTCTTATTAACTTTCTAATGATTATTTATTGTCTGCACTAATAAAATGTAATCTCTGGTCCTCTTGATTATTGTCTCTAAATCTAAAAATCAGTCATCTTCAAATGATGCAGAGTTTCAATGCTGAAAGCTTTAAATTAGTAAAAATAATTATACATAAAACCAAAAAAAATCGTACATATCAAATTGAAATAGTTTTAGAAGTTGACAGTAGGATAAATTGTTTTATTATAGAAATAAGCGCTGAGCAAAAAAAATACAGTTTTTTCTTATCTTTTAATTATTACGATAATACAACAAAAATTAAAAAAAACTAAATAAGTTGCATGAATATAAGAAAAAACAAAAAAAAAATGAGAGAAAGAGTGTTCTGACTTCTGAGAAAAACACACGCGCTTTTGTTCGGGCAGCAAACAGACAGCTCAGCCTAGCTTGGACCCACAAAAACACAAACTGACCAAAGTTCAGACGCGTTATCCGATTCACCTTCCCGTGAAATACACGCGCCACCTCTCACTCGTTTCCACTGAGCTCATAGGCCCCATAAAATAAAAGCCCAACAAGAGGCTCAACACAATCACACAACACCACTGAAGGCAGGTGACCACTCAACATCATCTCTTGTTCGCATCTCTTCTCTGACCAATGCTACATCTCCCCATCTCCCTGCGTCTGCATACACGTTCGAGAGCAAAACTTTACATCCTCCGTGAGATGGATCAATCGCCGCCAGCTCAGAAGCCGCCAGCTCAGCAACCTCGACGTTACCGTGAATCCGTGAAGCCGATAACAAGATTCCCCATATGATCACATCCGCCTTCACAGGCATCGTCTTGATCATTTCTTTTGCCTCCTCTAATCTCCCAGCTTTCCCCAACAAATCAACCATACATCCATAATGCTTTATGTCTGGCTCGATCCCGTAACTTCTCTTCATTCGCTCGAAATACGTTTGACCCAACTCCACAAACCCCGCGTGGCAGCATGCGCTCAAGACACCGACAAAAGTGATGCTGTTCTGTTTGATTGGGAGTGACTGGAGATCAGAGTAGAGATCAAGCGCTAGTTTTGCGCGGCCATGTGTAGCTGACCCGCAAATGATAGCGTTCCAGGGAGAGATTGTTGAAGAAGTAATGTTCCTTGTTTGGAGGAAAACGTTTAGGGCGGTTTCGATGCTTCCGCATTTGGCGTACATGTCGATTATAGCAGCGGTTAGATTGTCGTTGGGAGGAATTGAGCTACGGTTTAGATACTCGTGCGCTCTCTTCCCTTCTAACAACGATCCTAACGACGAAATTGCAGAGAAAACACTCACCATTGTGATCGCATCTGGTTTTGTGAGGCTACTACTGATCATTTCGCGGAAGAGATGCAGAGCTAACTGAGGCGAACGACTCTGTGCGTAACCCGAAATCATAGCGTTCCATGAAAAGTTATCTTTATCACGAGTCTGATCAAACACTTCCCTTGCCTGCTCAACCATTCCATTCTTCGCAAATCCAGCGATCAACGCGTTTCTCGACGCGATGTGGTCCTTGACGCTCGCTTCAAACTGTTGAAGAGCGAGGTTCATGCTATTAGAGACGGCGTAGAAATGTATGATCGTTGCTTGTATGAAATCGTAACGATCGAAACCCGTCTTCACGATGGTACCGTGAAGTTGCAGACCCTTGGAACCGCCTGCTGATCGAGCTGACGCAGAGAGAAGGTCCACCATCATAACTTCACTAGGCTTCATTCCACGGCGCAGAATCTCGGTGTAGAAAACCAGAGCTTCGTCGAGCTGATTCTTTCGGAGACACCCATCGATCATGGTGCCCCACGAGACAATATCTTTCTCAGTAATCTGATCAAACAATTCCTTAGCCTGTTCAATAAGTCCAGCTTTTGCGTACCCGTTTAACATCACGTTCCAAGTTACTAGATTTCTCTCACGCATTTCATCGAACAGCTTCCGAGCATCCTTCAAACATGAGCAGACACAGTACATATGCAGCAAATTCGTCGAAACAAAAACCCGATCGTCAAGATTCAGCTTCACTGCCAAACTCTGCAACATCCTGCAATCCCAAATCCCGCCCAAATGTGAACAAGCGGATATAACAGTGGCTAAAGTCACTTCATTTAGCATAATTCCCCAGTTTCTCATCTCTCTGAAAAGCTCCATGGCTTCACTCCACCGATCGTTTTGAGCGTAACCCTTTATCAAATTAGTATACGAGACGCAGCTTCTCTCAGGCATAACGTCGAACAACTTAAGCGCGTCCTCAAGTCGACGAGATCTAACATACGCATCGACCATAATATTGAACGAAGCAGAATCAAGCTTCGCGTGTGACCGGAAAACAGATTCCGCATCGGCCACGATACGGCATTTGGCGTACATGTTGAGGACGCTATTGCAGATGAATCCATTAGAATCAAAACCGGATTTCAAGACGCGGCAATGGATTTGTCGGCCACAAGCGACGTCTTTAGTGGAGGCGCACGATCCAAGAGCTGAGACGAGTGCTCGCTCAGTGTCGGGACTCTCTCCGCCGGAGAAATCGAAACCGGTCGGACTCGGAGCCGCCGTGGTTTGTTGATCCCTCCGCGTGACCGAAGCGGAGAAACATCTCGCCTGCTGAGGCGAAAAGACCCGACAGCGACGAGACCAGAGATAATGAATCGATTTGATCATAAGAGACCATGAGAGCAAAATGCTAAAACCTACAGCTCGAGGTTTTATATACTTATCTCTCGTCCTCTAAGCTCACAGAGCATATATATCCAGTACATAGGCTTTTGTGTGTTGTTCAGAAGAAAAAAAACATTTATTTATTTTTAAGTGCAAGTAAAAGACTAAATATAAGGAAAATGCAATTGATTTGATCAGATCATTCGAATTGGATCTTTCTGAGTATACATTATATAGTTTCACAAAGGAAGTGTTACAATTCTCTATTCAGGGATTAACTCTATAGGAGATGGAAAAAGATCAATAATTAATATTTTTTTCCCTAATCCTCAACGAAGAAGAAGAAGAAGAACCTGCAACTGCAACACTTTAATGTGATAATCTGTAAGTATAAAAACTGGAGAGTTTCTGGATCAGCGATTGTCTACACATCCCTTTACAGCTAATTTTGCCGGCGATCTGCAGAAAACAGAGCACATGAACTGATCAAAACAGATCAAAAAGAAAACAAATGCGTTGCAAACAAAGTAAAATACACAACAGAAGATTTGCCCAAAAAAAAAAAAACACAACAGAAGATTGAAAATCATATATATTAATCACAGCGAATCAAAATGGAAATCATAAAGCTTTATTATAATCAATAATCATTGGGTCAGAAGAAACATTTCCCGCCTTCTTTGCAATTGACTCAACTTCATACTCTAAATCTGATCCTAAAGCTTGAACCTTTTGACACCTCATTATCCAGTTGAGCTATTAGATAAGTTACCCAAACTGATGATGACGAACTTTACGCAACTACTTAAAAAGTGAAATTAGGGAGATTTCAAATCAAAACTGGTATATATGATGCGCATGATCCATGATAATGGCTGCATGTGCGTTAACTCTTTCATACATTAAAACGGTATGGTGGTATAGTTCACCAGACAAACATTAGGTCAAACAACTAGAGTCATGTTCAACTGCTTCCCTTTCATTTCTCGAATAAAAATAAGATTCAATCTGCTAAAACAATCACAGCATGGCAGTGATGAGCATAGCCACAAAACTAGTACTCATACTACTCATCATATATCCACCACAAATTGACAATTCCATTCATCATTACAACTGAAATAAGACAATCAACTACAAAAAAAAAAAGAATAAAAGCCGTGGCACTATTATCTATAAGAACTGAGTATCAAAGCGTAAGGATTTGAGCCAATGAGGATTACAAAAACAGAGATGTTCACTGGTCTCAAAAATGATTAATCGGAAAAGCATAAACCTACAAATCACTAATCACTGACCAAATGTGGCCTAAGATTTCACAAACCAATGCAGCAACATGACTCATTCAAGGTTTAAGTTTATACCACAAAGAGAGACGAAACAAACAAATAAACTACAACATTTTGATGCAAATGAAGAGAGCGACTTAGTCTCTCCAAGAGGAGAACTTTGACTTACTTTTTATGACGCCGGCTTCTCTTAGGTCCCCAGCCTTCGAGCTTAGCAATGGGACAACCACACCTTGATCGGAAAAGCAATACAGCTCGACCATTAGGCGGAGCCATCTTCCTCAGCTCAGCTCTCAAACACTCGTAATCAGGATTGCTCTCGCTGCCTCCTTTCCACGGCAACCAATCAATCTCCTTCGCCGATCCCGATTTGACGCATTCCTCCGTCTGCAGCTGCAAATCAAACTCCATCGCCTTCTTCAACCCTTTGCATTTTGGGTTACGGCACTTCCTCGATCTCGACCCGCAGCATAGGTCGAGGAACGCAATCGACGCCGCGAAGAAGACCCCGAAGACGAAGAAGAACGACGCCGGAGAGATTCCGGAGGAAACCTCATCGTCGGAATCGTGATCGGAGAAGAAGAAGCTCAGAGGGAGGAGGGAGGAGAAAGAGAGGGCGATTGAGGGGAAATGAGAGGAGAGGAGGGATAAGGAGTGGATAAGGTAGGAGAAGTAGGAGGAGAGGAGGAAAGCGCCGGAGAAGAGGACGAGGATTAGGATTAGGATGTCGAGAGTCGCCGACGGGGAATGCTTGCAGGGATGGAGGGAAGAGGAGCTGGAGCTGTGATTAGCGGCGGATCTAGAGGCGGAGGAGGAAGAGGGCATGCTGGTGGAATCGTCTTCGGCGGAGGCGGAGGAGACAAGGAGGAGATGGAGCATGTTAGGAGGAGGAAGACGGTGGACGGTTGTCACAAAGCGGTGGCTTCGGAGAGCCAATGCCTCATTTGCATATAAGTCTCTGTGTATGTAAAGGTTTTGGCTATACAATTAATTTTGAAGAATTCGTTACAAAAAAAATAATACTATTATATAAAATACTGGAATATATAATGTGAGTCACGAGAGAAGTAATCACCTAGTGATTAGATACTGAAACATTTTGGAAAACTATCCAAATTATTTAAAAAAAATTTATCAAAAAAATAATAATAATAATAAAGTGGCCGACACTGCTCGACCGGTATAAATGGTACGAATTTGACAGAAGACGCTATTTTTCTCTATTTGTTTTGCATCATTCAAAAATAAGATACTAGATCGTAAATAACTCTAAATGAATTGATGATTTTTCAATTTTTATGTCTTACTCTCAGGAGAATTAATCAATGAAGAAAGTACTAAGATATGTTAGGACAAAGGCATACAGTTTCTCTATCAGTACTTTTATTGTCTTCTTTTCCTTGTACTTCATGTCTTGTTTTCTATGAAACAATATTCTTCTAATGTTATTGAATCGCTGTTATTTGAAATTTATAAGAAAAAAATCCAGACAAACCGCAAGTTTGAATTTCAAGGGACGACGATTGAATAATTTGGGTCCCTCCTATAGAATCCGAGTTTTATTAAATTCGCTCACAAAACATAAATGTAAGATCATTTATTTACAAAAAAGAGAATCGGAATGTGATGATCTCCGGCGACGGGACAATCCAGGCTGACCAAATTTAACAAGAAGAAACCTGCCATCAAAGAACTAAACCAAAAACCGGTATCAACAACCAACAATAACAATCATGTTTCCGGTTCTCGAGACCCGGGAGCAACCTACCAAAGCATGAACAAACACATTTTATTGAATTTCAAAGAAGCTTTTATACCTTTCCGTTCATGGCTTCCACAGCCAACTGTGCATCCTCATTGCTGCTAAACCAGACATACCCGTATCCTAGAGACTGCCGGGTCCTTTCGTTTGCGATGATTTTTACTGCCACAAACAAAATAGTGCTTCGCGGTAAGAACATAAGATCGTGCTGGTTTCTGTCTGATTCTTCAACCAAGCTAACCTAATGAATGATACTCTTAATGCTTGTAATGCTGATCATAAAATTGACTCACTAACCACAAACTTTGCTTAGTTAATCGACCTAGCTTATGTTTTACAGTTTATATGTTCCCAACTGAAAAGAAAAGAAAATCACCAAGAAACACACACAAAAAACACTAAAGAGAATATCTATAATCAGTTATCGCTAGTCACTGATTCCATATATGCTGCTGAATGAGAGGTATCATGGTCTCCTTCAAGAGTGGGAACTCAGGATTCCTTCATTTGTTTCTTTATGTAAAAGACATGAATAAGAAGAAGAAAAGCAGAAAACGTTTTGCAAATCAATGGTTTCTCATTAGCTCATGACCATAAGACCTATTTATTAGTATCAGAGCTTTCATTCATTTGCTTCTGATCCACAGCACTTTGTGATAGTTAAAAGATAAGGATGAAGACCAATTCCTCCTGTTATTAATAAGCTATGAACAAATTTACTGATTTAATCAAGTATCTTAGATTTGTTCTTCTGCTTCAGTTTCGTTTGCCAATGTAGTATAGTCGCAAGATCATAGTGAGGTTCAAATTAAAACAAAACATCCCTACCTCAATCCTACTATTATCCAAGAAAAAGCTTTAGAACGTGACCTATTTGACTATATTCAATGCTCCTTTATATGGTTCCTCGTGCTTACGAATCCTATTGGAAGCTGAAAATGTCAGAGATAGAGAGAGACTCACCATTGCTAACTTCTCCAAACTCCGAGAAGACCTTTCTTAAACGCCCTTCGCTCACTGAATCCGGAAAACCTGTAAAATCACATTTGAATCGAACCGAGAACGGATTCAATTTCATATAAACGTTGGTGCAAGAACAGAATTCAAAAAGGAGGAATCGAGTCAGAGATACCCTTCACGAAAACCGACGAGGTAGAAGTGGGGAGAGAAGTTGAATCTCTGGTTCCGTCTTCCGAAAGATCTCCGTTGAGGGCGACGCAGCTGATGGTCCGGAGAGGAGACCAGGGTTTGCTTCTCGCCGTACGAAATGACGAAATCAAAGGGTATCTGTGAGTTTTCTTCGTCGGAAAAGTAAGTGCTCTCGGATTTTGAGATGTTCCGACGAATTGATATTCGTGAGACGGGGTCTGGAAAGTCGAGAAAGAGGTCGACTGAGACAGTGCCATCTCCTCGAGCTTGCCGCCGGCGGGAGGCCTTTCAGCTAGTGACGAACTTCTCTTCTGATATATCATCATCAGTTTCGTCTGCTTCATTTTCTCCCCATGATTAGTTTGGGCCTAAAATGTTAGCCCATTAACATACCGTTAGGCTTAATGGCATTCCGGGCCTGATATGTCAACTAAAGCCTTGAATAAACAAACTGGCTCTAATTTGTATTACTAGAAATTGACTCGTTCGTTGTGCGAATTTATTTGTTAATTTATATAATTATTATATTTTTTATTTTATTTTATTTTATTATTTTATATATTATTTTATTTTTTAATTATCATAAATATGTAAACTTTTTGTGAAATATTTTCTCGAATATAAATTATGATATGTTAATTGTTTTAAAAAACTTTTTCTTATAGTTATATGCTATCATAAATATTTATGTCTTCATATTAAATATTTTTATTTAACTAATTTATTTCTATAGTATATTTCTAGCATGATCAGTAAAATAATTTCATAATCGATCACACACTCTCTTTTTATTTTTGTATTCAAAATAAATTTTTATTTTGTAGAGAATTTGTAGTTGTGTGATTTGTAGAATAAGTTTTCTTTTTTTACTTTTAAATTAATATTATGGGAAGACTCAATTTATTATCTCTCTTCTGTAAAATTTAAAGTCGTTCAGGTGTATATTTTTTTCATGAGAATATATGTATTTTGTTTTTTATCGATAACATTATTGATAAATTTTAATGTTTTGATCTGTACGTTGCGCAAACTTATCTATTAGTTTGATTTTAATTTTTTATATTATTATTATGTATATTTTTATATTATAATGCTGTCTTTTTAAAATATTTTGTTTTTTATTTTTTGTCCAAAAATATGTATATTTAAATTGTAAATTTCTTTTTTAATATAGATTATGATGTATTATATTAATTATTAAAAAGTTTCTCGTATATTTATACGCTGCAATAAGTATTATATGTGTCATAACTGTTTAACTGTATTCAATTGGTTTTGATTTTTTTACAGTTCATTTTCACTGATAAAGTAAAATCATTATCGACCATTCCCCATTCTAAACTAAATGTTCTCTTAATTTTTTTATCGGATTTTTAAAAAATTTAACTCATTTTTTATCATTCATTTTATTTTTTTTCCTTTCCTAATGTTCTTAGTCATATTATTGTGATTACAATCACTGATATTTTCTTTTATTTCATGCAAGTTTTCGTCTCATTCTATTTTGTGATTGATTGTAACTCTAAATGAGGGGAATTGTAAGTAAAGTTGGCAAGACAGAGCAAGAGATCTGTTCATATGTTATTATGTTACAATTTTTGATTTTAATTAATTTCAAACATTTGTCTTTTTTTCGAAAAAAAATTTCGATGTGTTCATCCATCTGATGATGATGAACTACTTGACTATATTTGTGAATGTGTGTGAAAATATTCTTATCTATTTTCATGTCATGTGAAGGTAAAAAACTTGACTCTGTTAGAAAATATAATCAATAATCTTGTTATAGTTTATTTATATAGTTCATATTAAAATTCATAAATAATCCGGTTGATAAGTAAACTCACCGAATATCAATTTTGTATTGTCATCATTGAGAAAAAATGGTTGATAAATATTTGTCATTTTTTTCTATTTCATATTAATCAAACTTATTTCTATACTATATAATTAAATATTTTAGTTTTTCATTTATAAAAAATATTTATTCATTTTACATAGTAAAGTAGATATGAATGGTTTTCATTTATTTTATGCGTTAATCTTTTTGAGAATTTTTTTAAAACTATTTGATAACTATTCTCTGTAAGTTTTTATGTCGTCTTTCGTAATTGTTTACTTTTTAACTCTTTTTCACATTCTATTTATTTATATTCAAAATAACTATTTTTATATTCTATTTTTTATGTTCAAAATAACTCTTTTCATATTCTATTTATTTATATTGAAAATAACATTTTGAATTTTTATTTAATAGAAAATTTATGTTTTATGATTTGTAAAATAAGTATTTTTTTATATGAATAATTTTACTTTAGTTTTATACATAAATCTTTCGAAGGTTTTTTTTATAAAATGTTTTGAGAATTCTTTTTTTGTAATTTATTCAGCCATCTTTTGTATGTGTTTGCTTTCCAAATTTTTTTCATAAACAAAGAACATAAGTTTGTAATTTTATGACTTTTAAAATAAATATTTGTTTTTAATTTCACAGTAATCACATTAAAAATCCAAAAATAAATACCCAAAATATAGAAACTTAAAAACAAAACCCAATATATTTAAAAACCCATTTTAAAATAAAAATTGTGCTGATGTGAACACCTTAAATGGAGAACATACTCTAATTATATATATGATTTGATGGAGTTGATTTTTCCTTTCAGTTATTTAAACAGAAAAACATCAAATTATAGTAATATTGATGTTTTTTTACTGCAAAAAACTTTTAAATGTTTAGTTGTTGATTGTGTAAAAACCTCTTGTTGGTCTCAGTTTTTTAGTCCTAATGTTACTAGATTTCTCTTCATTTAAGCTTACACCATAGTACTAAAATTTATGAATTTATCTAACAACTGATCATCAGTTTTGTAACTTATATCACAAATATGTGCAGTTTAGATTTTGAAAAGTACGTATAATCACAAATTTATATAGCAATCTAAACGGAAACAAAACAAAAAAACGCTTAAATCATTTTGGAAGTACATACTGTATTACATAAGTATCTTCTAATTCAAGTTAGTGACATCAAACCACTGACGGATATAAATATTTGAATTCAGTGACAATTGAATGCTAAAAAAACGCTTCTAGTGTTCGAAAATTAAGATTCGTACTTACTATTTTAACTGCCTTAATTCGCCATGGTTTTTCATAATTACACGATAATGCATACTTCCACCAATACCAAATGACGAGAATAAAGATTAGCAACTTGTCTAATAAACATAATTATAAATTATAATCATTGCCTATAACTTTGTCTACAAATTTCAAAGGTGATGAGACTAAACTGACTAATGCATGCATCTTTTCAAATAACAGTTCAACGTGTAGATTATTATTCGATTAATAAATAATTCGCATATAAAGAATAGCTTTAATGACTGATATGAAAGTACAGAGAAGTGGAACATACTTTACTTAGCCTAAACATAACCGAGTTAGTCAAATCACGCGATGATAATAAAACATATACATAATAGACAATGCTTTCATCACTTGATAAATGAAAATAATTCAAGAATGCCCATTGATATTGAGTTGTTATTTTTTTGACGACACGCATTGATACAAAGCTGTAAGATAAATAAAGTAATAATTGAAATGTTGGACAAAAATATTAAGATATGAAAAAACAGCTTGTGGTTCGATACATCTAACGTGTAGACAGAGCTAATAATTGAGGCATTCGAAAATTTTAAGCAAGTTGCCTGATGGGAATAGTTTTTGACATCCATCGCACAATTTGGTCCAATTGTTCTAAATTTACGATATTTATACTCCAACAAACGCAATTTAGTTATGGAATATGACAAAAATGATCTTTAAATTTGTCTAATATTGGTAGAGCAGTATATATACTAACATTTTACATATTGTGATATGTATGTCAAATACATGCAAATATGCAACTGTTAAAACATCTATCTCTAAGAGTCATAAATGATATGATATCATTTTTTTTTAATCGTCTGAATATAAATTATGAAAACAATTATAAGGATAATATTTAACGAACAAATTAACTATTCCACAAAATCCATTATAGATATACGGATTATGATGCCATTAAACCACTAATATTCAGCTATTTTCTTTCATCTCTCTTGAAAACATATATACCAACAAAAATCTTTTAAAACATATAAAAATACAAAAAAAAAAAAAAATTAGTAATGCAAATGCAAATGTAAAGGCAATGCTATTTTGTATGGGAAAAAGAGCAATAGCATGCTGTTTTTTTTCGTATTTTGGGTAAAGAGAGGGAGAAGCGGTGCGTGGCGGTGGGTAGTGCGCATCATCAACTCACACAAGAATCCACTCTTCTTCTTCTTTTTTTAATGACTTCGAATACATAAATAGTTTCTCTTGGACAAAAATTGATGATGTATATATATATTTATGTGTGTAATTTGTTAATATACTCGAAATTCAAAAATCCATTCGTCTTAAGCAGCATGAACTTCATCAGCAACCCGCCAAAAATATAACGAACAGAGACATATTGAATTATAAACAAGTAAGTAATAATCACTTCACAGCCGTTTTATTGAATTATTTAACCACATCATGTCACAACTGGGGGACCCAAAACACATATCGGACGGCAATCCGCCGTCAAAAGGTGGGGTCCATGTCCAACAATACTCTTTTTTAGTCCGTTGGATCCTTATTCTTTTTTGGCAAAACCGCGTTGACCAACGACCTCTTTTTACTAATAAACCTAGACTATCCACCGTATAACCGTACACTATTCCGCACCACATCCTAGCCTAAGTACTATACCGGAAAAACAAAAGGGAAACCTGTCAGCATCCGCCCCGCGCGTGCGCTCCCGGTCCCTCAAAACTGATTCCGTTAACCGTAACACACTTTAGTAATAAAAAGGTCATTCATCTTCTCCGACAGCGACCCATCTCGCCACGTGGCATTATCATGGCTTTATCTCCTTTCGACCACTCTCGCCACGTGGCATTATTATGTTTTCTTTCTTTCTTAAACTTCCCTTTCTTTTTGCATCATATTACATCGATCGGGATGATCCGTTCCTTTTTTTTTCTTCACCGGGAAATCGCCGCCACAGCGGCTGGGAGCGGAGGAACGGCGGAGATCTCCGGTAGGAGAATATCTGCGCCGTCCAAATGATGACCGTCACTGTAATTAAGAAACCGGTCGACCGCGAGTGCGCTGGGGCGAGCCACCATGTTCTCCCAAGCCTCGTCTGCTTCTTCTCCTCGCCGGAGGAAAACTTCCGTCGCGTCGATACGGTGCATATTCCACTTCCATTGCTTGTAAAGTCTCTGAATCTTCTGCAATTGACGACACGCAAGCAAACAAT